GATACGAGAGTTATAGGTATAGTTGGCATGCCAAGAGTCGAGGGTTTCATAGGTCCTTCGGGACAATACAGTGGTCATTCGGGACAATACAGTGGTCTTTCGGGACAAATTTCATATGCCACTCAGTGGGACTTTTACGAGTTGTGGTGACAACATTAGTGCACAACCTCAATGTACTCACATACCTTCAATTCTCAATAGTGTACATGGGCTAACAAAGAAATTTAATAAGTATACTGAATATGATATGTATATGTGATTTGTTATATGGAATAGATCACATGATTTATGTAATGGTGTATTGCTTGGTTAATGCATGATATGTTATGTATAAGGGTGTTAAATTATGAGAATTAATGATAATGAATGTGAAATGTTAAACGTGTTGAAAATGATATATGTGGTTATATGATGAATATATGGTAAGTAAAAGTGATTAATGATAGTATTTGCATATGTATGCCTTTTGTTTATATGAAATGATATATGGTTATATTATATGTTTTATATACCTCACTAAGTCATTGACTTAGCGTGTGATTGTTTCACACGTAGGTTTGGAAAGCGAAAAGAGAAATAAAGAGGAACAAGACAGGCCAGTTCTCCTTACCAAAGATCAGATCAGAAATGTAGATAGAATTACATGTACTTTGTTAGAAAGAATTTAGTTGGCATGTAATAAATAAAGGATTTGTATTGGATACACTCTGATCGAGTTTTGGAATGTTTTAAACATATATATATATGTAAATAGTAAATGTATAGAGATGAACGTTTTAAATTTTAAGAGTTTATATATGTTTTACGGAAGTACTGTAGCAGGATATCGGTTCCCTGTAGCAGGGGAATCAGTTGCACTCTGACAATCTGGAAAATTTTAGCATTTGGCACTGTAGCAGGGTATTGTTCACGGTATTGTTCATACATTATTTTACTATTTATAAATACGTTTTTACTCAAAATTTTATACGAAACATAATTTAATAGAATATTGTGCCATTTTCTTAAAAATGAGTTCAAATGTTTTGATATTTTGTAAGAATATCGTTTTTAAAAGTCAATGTGACATCTCGGACTCGTATTCGGGTCGGGTACGGGTTGGGGTGTTACAAATGTACTGCTAATATATGAATAAGTGGAACCCGGATCAGTCAATATTAACACCAATTTATCAAACAACTGAAAAGTACCTGCTATAATCTCTGGATCATCACGGTCTTCACTTGTCTTTAAATTATACACTCGCGCAGTTGAGCGCACTTCAGGTTGTGCAAAGGATTTAGACTGGTTTCTTCCTCTACCTCTTCTTCTTCCTCTTTGTGATGTAGAAGCGATTCTTTCAGAGGGTGCAAATTCACCAACCATCAATGGGCAATCCCGGAAAAATGTTCGGCATCCCCACATCGAAAACAAACTCCAGAGGTCATCCGACATATCCAAAATGATTTTCCCACAATGTTAACACTATCTTGATTGACCCTGATTGGATCTCCCAGCACCAGATCCCACTGATTGTTTCTGTCTCGCTCTCATCTGACTTGATCCTCTAGTAGATGATGCAACTGATTCAGATCTAGCTTGAGGTTGGAATCCCAAATCTCTACCTCTTTTTGATAGTGTTGAGCTTGAAGAAGCACTCGTTCTCTTAGATGTATGAACTCTTTGATCCCTAAACCTTTCATTCTAAGCTCTCTCTAGAGCTTTTGCATGATTAACCACCTCTTAGAATGAGGACAGATTCAATATTATCAGCATCTCCTTTAATCTAGGGCACAAGCCCTCCACGAACCATTCACAAGCGTCTTTTTTGTAGGAATAAGCTCAGCAACAAACTGAGTCAACTTATTGAACTCACACTCAAATTTATATTCAGTGTGGTTCAGCTACTATAGACTCATAACTTCTGCTTCATTTGCCTGATAAACTGATCTCCAATATACTTGTGCTTAAACTCTTCCAAGAATAGAGACCAAGTCACTTGATCACTTGCCAACCTCATGGTGACATTCGTCTACCATATCCTAGCTTGTCCCTTAGCAAAAAAAACCACTCCATCTAACTTCTCCATTTCTGAGCAGTGGACACTATCCAACATGATCTTCAAATCATTAAGCCAGAGATCCACCACAACGGACCTTCCTCGGCTTCTCCCTTAAATTTGAGAGCTCCCAATCCTTTTAACTCCCTTGCCACATTCATTCTTTGGGTGGATGGAGCAGAGGTTGAAAACGCGTCAGAATAGCGTCCAACGTCATAAAGAACATATCCTGATCTTGCACAAGCACTCCCTAGGGTGCATGTTCTTCACATTGCTTGGCCAGGGCAGGTGAATTACTACTCTCAGCTGGCCTATCATCTCCCGCTTCACTTTGAGAGCTATCACGTCGAACATCTACTAAGAATAAACATATAATTCTATTAGTAAGACAACATACTCTTTACTATATCAGATCAGAAGTTCTTACTATTTGTTGGCATGTATACATTTAAAGACACTCTAGACTCTGATTTATGCCTAGAATCGGCTAAATCATAGCTCTGATACCATTAAATGTAATACCCCAACCCGTACCTGTACCCGATCTGGATACGAGTCCGAGATGTCACATTAGCTTTTCAATACAATATACTTATAAAATAATAGAAAATTTAAACTTATATTAAGAAATCCAATAATTTACATAAGTTTATACAAAAGCTCACAAAATAATCGGAGCATATACAACTTAAACTTTTGATTACATGCCAACATTGATTTCATAACAAAATAACCTACTGTTTAAGCTGCTTCTGATATGATATCTGCATGAGTGATGATATCCCAGTTGCCTATCCCTGCTCGTCTAACTTCTTGGATCCTACGTGTGAAACACTCACATGCTAAGTCATTGACTTAGTGAGACACAAAATATATATGATATCATAATGAAATGTAATAACATGAAATCATATCTTCATTCAATGCAAACTACTTAATCATGCATTTCAAACATAGTAACTTATCACAGTATTTAATGTTATTTCATATTATATCTTTCATTAGCCCATGATACAATACCAAGAACTTAAGGTATGTGAGTACATTGAGGTTGTGCACAAATGATGTCACCGCAGCTCGTATAAAATGCACCGAAGTGCCACGTAGAAATGTACCGAAGTGTCGCGTAGAAATGCACCGAAGTGCCATATAAAATGTCCATAAGGACCACATGGAATCTCCTTAAGAACCATATACATATTCCAAATGACCAAATATGTGTCTCAAAGGACCACATATATGTTCCAAATGATTACATATACGTCCCGAAGGACCACGTAGACCCTCAATCTTGGCATGTCAATTATACCTATAGCTTTCATCTACATAACATGGGTTTTTCACAATTCACATAGTTTATATCTCATAGACATAAATTCTTAACTTTTATCACATCGCTTATGTAAACTCTCATACCTATTCACTTAGATCATTATCATATAATGCATATCATATGAGTTCATGTCATATATCATATCATGTAATGCAATCATATATTAAATATGTTGGAATTAGACTTATCACAAGTCTAATTTCAATATCATACTATAATCATTCTATACATATGCACTCACCTATATTTCATTATCTTTCCCTCGATCAATCTTACTCGTTAATCGTTCCGGAACTCGTTTATGCTCGGTATCTACATAAATATGATTTCCAAAGCAATCGTCAGAATCCTAAACATTATACTCAATCTTAATAACTTAAGCTATTTGATCAACATAATTCACCTTTTCCTTATTATGTAGTATCGGTACCCAATGTGCAGTACCGATACTTTCTTTATAATGGTATCGATACCCAATTCCGATTCTGTAATTCCATTTCCAAAAATGGTATCGATACCTGCCTTATGGTATCGGTACCCATGGTATCAATACTACCCATCTCGGTATCGATACCTCAAGAAGATGTTGTCTAAAATGGCCTTATGGTATCGATACTGTTCATGCAGTATTGATACCTACACAATATTATAGCCTACAATAGCTTTGTAGTATCGGTACTTGTTCATCGAGTACCGATACTACCAACCCAGAACATACTCCAACATCCGAAAATCATCAACTCTTCATTTAATTCTTCTATTTTAAACTCCCTTCTTGCCACTAAACCCAACTATAAACACTTTAACTATCTTTTATCATTCCAACTCCTTATTAACTTCAATATCTCATTCAAATCCTTGAAACTAAGAATCTTACCAATTTTTCAACATAATCCAAACTCATTTCTAACACTTTAAACTTCTTAATTTATCTGATGACAAGCCAATTCTAGTCTCAAAATCTAATAACTATCTCTCCCCCAAGATTTCATTTAGAGACCCCTTATCTTTAATCCTTCTTAACTTCTTTATCTTATAGTTTTAGGACAACTTAAGCATTCCTTAAGCTTAAGTATCATATAAGGATCATAAACCAAACTTAATTTCAACAAATAATCAACTCACAAGAAAGCTCACCTTAGCTTATGGAGCTTCACGGCTGAAGAAGGAAGAAAGATGAAGAGATGTCTGGAACCTTTGTTTTTCCCAAATGTGTTCACGTGGTTATAAAATAACCACAACTAATTTTTTTATTATTCCTCTATTGAAATGACCCATTTGCCCTTTTATTCCTCCTTTGCTAAATCATTCTACATAAAATATTCCAATTAAATCCCTGAACTTTTAATTTATCTAATTTACTCGCAAATTCTAAAATCTCACAATTTGGTTATTAACCCGATGTTTGGATGTTACAATATCCTTATAAACATATACTTGAGATTAGGGTTTATAAGAAAGTTGACTAAACGGTAAATCACATTTAAACATAAATCACTAGATAAAAGGATTGGTGGAAACAAAATAATTTTTGTCAAGATGATTGAAAATGATAATAAGAGATGATAGTTGGCGGTGATGTTGGTAAAAAAGTATTTTATTGATTACTGAATAAAGTTAATAAATTTCTTGTATCTCAAAAATCAATATATATTTCAAAACTAGTGTCTCCCAACATCATACAATGATTAAACTACAAAGTAAGAAAGTTGTTATGAATCTTAACCATCAGCTTAACAAATTATCCATCCTCTATACCCTGCCGAGCCTTAATGTTTACTCTTCGCAGTGGACAACAATTTGTGCTAATAAGATGAACCCTACAAAACATTATCTTAAAAAAAAAAACCTTTATTTTTATCGAGTCATTTAAAGTCCACACATTGGATTCTGTTATTATTCGTCGTCCATCTTCTTTGGTATTTAAGAACGTCGGTACCTTCCTTAAGCTGTAGGGGGTAATCTCTCAGATGGACCACATGGAAGGGGGTGCCCCGTCTCCAGTTCGATTCTGCTTTTGAGCTCTCTAAGTATCCGAATTTGGCCCAGCTTTTGTGTAGACAACTTATCCCAGTAGATGCCTGCATAGCAAATAATAGTTATATTATACTAATACTAATATCCTATCCTATTCCTATGACTAATGGTCATGGATAGTGGCCAAGGTATTCTTCTTAAATTCAGGTTGGCAAAGCAACAGAACAAAACTCGCATTCTAATTCCCCCAAAACTTTTATCCCTATACTTTATACCAAAATGTATGCATACCATGGCACTGGCTTTAATGTTTGGATTCTGGCGAGCTCTCTAGAGATGGTCTTATGATAAATATTTGATACAGAGCCAAAATTACTAAATGGTGGAATAGTGTTCAGACTCTTTCTGCAAATTTCCTTCTTCGGAAAATCGATACTGGATAATGGAACAACTACAGGGCAAAATTTATTAGGCTTAATTCAAAAAATAAGTAATAAAATATATCACACTTTTCATCTAAGTATCTAAAGTATTTTTGGTCAAAACAAGTACCTAAAGTGACCATCTTTTTCATCTAGGTACCTAAAGTATTTTTTAATCAATGTCTCGGATCAACTTTTAGGAACCTATATGAAAAAGATGGTATACTTTAGGTATCTACTTTGAACAAAAAAATACTTTTGGTACCTAAATGAAAAAGGTGTTAACTTTAGATAATTTGACCAAAAAATACATTAGATATTTAGATTAAAAAGGTGGTATACTTTAATATTTTTTAAATAAATCAATTTATTACCCTTGGAAACAAATCATGGCAATGTTAAAGACTAAAATCAAAGATAAAACAAGATACGTTTTCACCAACCTTGAGGCTTTGGAATTGCTGTATTAGTGAAAATAACTTGGGTAGGAGTACATATGATGTCAACGGGGACATCATGGACCAGCAGTTTCTCAACTGGAATATCATCTACCAACTGACAGTCATGCACTGTGACAAGAGACTGAATCCAGTTATCCAGGTGTGGAAATTGCTAGATAAAATCTAACAAATAAATTAATGATGCAAGCAGTATCAAGAGTGGAGGAATCATAGCTGAGAACCACACTGCATTATTCATATTTCTGCCTTTATAACTAACCAAAGCTACGTTTGACAAATTACAACAGATATTCTCTATTCAGTGTGTCGAGAAAATCTCATAATCTAAAATCTAAGTTGATAATAATTTACGGTCGGAGAAAAAAACTATAAAAAATGTGTCCAAAAATAACATGTGATGCTTTGGAACTAGAGTTAGAATTCACGATATTGTTTTCTCTTAAGATGCCACTTCATTTTTTTTAACTACAGATGGATAGATTACGTACAAGGATGTTTGCAGTCCAATCACCTAAGATCGTCCATCAAACAACTAACAGGAAATAAAGAAAAACCTAACAGATATCAATATGTAATTTTTTTTTTATAAGAAAGGGAGGTCTCATTAAAAAAACCCCTTCATATCCATCGAAATACCGAAAAAGGTATCTCTACTAACATTGGAAGGAGGAAAAGAGTACCTCAAAATTTTATTAAATAAAACCTTAGTACAGCCTAGATTCAAAATAAAACACCTAAGGACAGCATAGAGTACAGGCAGCCAAGCTAGGAACAAATACCAACTCAACAACAAAACCAAAACAACAGGACCAAAACTAAGACCAATTAACCAATTCCTGACTTAGCTAACTTGTCGGCTTCCCAATTCGCATTTCTCTGAATTAGTCTAACAATCACATTGCGGTCCAACACAACCAAAACTATCTCTTTCACTAGATGCTCAAACAAGGCAGGACAAGATCCTGGATTTTTAATCCAATCCAAAGCGTTAGCACAATTCAATTAGCTACATATCTACAGGTAAAAAATGATAGCCAGTGAAAGAAATTCACCTGTCAATAAATTGAGTGCTAGAGAGTAAATATATCTAAACATTTCAATTAATTAAACTTCAAAATAGTATCATGTGGTCTAAAACAGTTGCAATAGACTACTGGCTTCCTGTTGCAAGTTCAACAGTGAGCACTAATGTATAACCATACCAGTTTAAATGGAAAGGGATTTCTATTATAAATTCTTTCTTTAGTGAAATATAGGTGAGTTGTGTACCTGAGGTAACCACCGGTGTTGAATCATCAATGGCCCCCATATACCGCAGCATGCCGTATTCAAGTTCAGCAAATCCCTGCAGCCAAGTCTTAATTTCTCTTAAATAAAGAAAAAAATCATATGGTTTCTGATAATCAAATATCTCAAGCCCAGTATACCCTACAATAAAACCAAAATATCAGTTCTAGACTAAAAATGAAAACATTTGAATTTGCAATTTAAATCGCTCAACATATTTGTACACTAAAATATTAGACAAAATTTCCAATGGACATACCCAAAAGAAAGCAATTTCCTCGATCTGCTGAGTTTCTTGGTTTGTAAAATGTACAGTTTCAATTAGTAATAGCAGTTTGGAAAGGGTAATACACTAAAGAAGTCCTCTCAGTAGGTTGAATAACAACATAACAAGAAAATTTTGGTTAATGTGTTCAACTTTAAGAAATAAATTGTGTGACCAGCCAAGAAAATAAGCAACAGAAAGTGCAGTTTCTGCAAATTATTAGTGCTTAAAACTGATTGGAACTGTTCATTATCCATTGATTGTTGACTACCAGATGAGATAACAAGGCGACAAATATGGGATATAACTAGAAATTAGTATTTTGTATTTTCCAATGTGGTAGAAGACAAAATTATATGTTCTTAGATCCCATTTTCCTCCACCATCAACCTTACACTTACAGGATGACCAAAAAAGTAATGCAGCAAGATAGAATGGATCCTTACCTCTCCCTTGCCGAGTCGAGCCCCAGTCTTTGGATCTACAGCAACTGAACCAATGACAATTACATCTACCTTGATCTTTTCATCCAACCCAATTGGCCTTCCATACTTTGCAACCCCTTCAGAAGTGCATGCCTCGTTGATGGTACTATGAGTAAGAATAGAGGACTCAAGTATTGAAAAGAAATTGGTTCTCAAACGGGGTTGCGGAGTGAGCAACTTCTTTCCATCTGTACATACATAGAGGCCATAATGCTAAGAATATAGCTGCTCCAGTACCATAACAAATACATTCTAACGTCATTACAAGAATGTGGATTGATTTCAAAAGATCAAAACCAAGATACACACCCAAATAGAACTCCCTTGTACGAGATCCCCAACAATCACTGGCACATCAATGAAAACCAGCCTATCTTTTGAAGTGATGTTGTCCCACATTTGTTAGATTCTGTACCGTTTGTGGTCTTTATGTTCAAGTTGGGCTTCTTCAATTAGTTTTTGAAGAGGTCTTTGTGTTCACTAGCACATTGGTGTTGTCCCACATCAATTAGTTTTACAATAGATGTTTGACATGGTATCGACACCCAAGGTTTGTTCTGTTGTTAACCTACCTAATATCCGTTCTGAGTTCGTCACGCTCACATTCGACTCAGATGGTTAAAATGGTGGGTGTTGGGTTGAATGCTAATACAGTTTGGTGCCAATTTAAAGTAGCAACACTGCCCATTACTGCAACTGCTAGTACAACTTATCAACTGAAGACAAAAGCTACAATTCCAGATAACCTATTTATATTTCCTCCACAAATATCAAAAGCATGGTTAATTTTTTAAAAAAAAATTGCAGCATAAAAATATGAAATAAAATGGACTTCTTAGAACTCAAAAATACTTGGAAGGTCAGCTTAGTAAAATGGAAACATTTAAAAATTTCAATCCAAAAAACAACAACAATAATAAACCGAATGCATTGGATCACTATGGGGATACCAAATTGATTATTTTGAATAAACTAACCAGAAAGAGTGAGAAGCCTGACTTGCTTCTGAGGCGAATCCGGGTTTACCTTCACACATATTGCCTTCAGAAATACTTCCAGCACACTCAACTGCCAAAAAAAATAGAAGAAAAATTTTGTCATTAAGTAAATGAAACGCAGAAAACCCAACAGTTTGAATGGCTTATAAGTTTTTACTTTTTTGGCAGCAGCTGAGGCACCAACAAAGTTTGGGATCCGATGATGAACGGGTCTGGGGTTCTGGGCAATATTCTGAGCCTCCATAAAATCCCAAACCCTTTTACGAATGACCCATTTCCAAGCCATGGGATCATCTTCTGCTTCCACAGTCGTTTCCTTCATTCTTTTGGAATTCTGGGCCATTGATCCTACAGCCTCAACCTCTCAACTTCATACGCCACCTCGACCAACTCATATTAAATTATGATATAATGATTTTTAAAATTATATAATCTTGACTTCAGTACAGAACGATTAGATAATTATATCATAAATTTTATGATTTAAATTATTATAGCGTAAAGTACACAAATAGCCTATAAATTATAAGGTGTTACTTTATTGAGTATATTGACTATTAAATATTATAAAATAATATTCTGATTATAGATGATGTTTTGTTGAGTCATTCAACTATTAAAAATTATAAAATAATCACTCGATTATTTATATGTTCCAAACTTGACATTTTCTTTTAAAAAAATTAGTGATCATCTGAGATCGACGTTAATTATTGACTATAATATGTTAAAACCTGATTTCATAATCATTTTAATTGTATTTTCTCGATCAAATCTTTGTTTACATTATGTCATCGAGTTAGTGCTTGAAATTAACGGTGATGCTAGTAGATATCATTAAAATATGATTTTATTATATCTTAGTCAGCAAGTTAACTTCCAACTAAAATGGGCGTTAATTTTTTTAACAGGAATGAATGGTTTTGGAACATATGAATAATTGGGTTTGGTTTTGAAATATATGAATAAATTATGTGACCATTCCATATCTTTTTTATAGTTGTGAGACTCAACAAAACAATGTCTTATAGTCGAGAGACCATTTTATAACTTTTAATAGTAAAAAACCTCAACAAAACAACATCATAAAGTAAATTATTAAATTATTAAAAAATTATAATTTAAAAATTATTTCATTAAAATTAAAAAACTTATTATTTTAGACAAATGGTTAATAGAGTGTAATTATTTATTGGTATAACAAAATAAATTAATTATATTTTTTAGCTAATGATATATTTAAAATAAATTTAAAAGTAAAAACTAATGGAAAAGTTTAAGAATTTTTTTAAAGAGGGAAAGTAGGATAAATGAATTTAAAAAAATAATTGCTATGTTTTTATGATAATAGGTAGGCTTTTAAGATAATATTAGAGATAATGTGTATTTTTTAATAAAATATTAAAAGGTAAAATAATTATATATATCTATTAATTTATTAATTTTATTTTAAAAAGTGATTGTTTTTCAACTAGGTTTTATAGTAATTAATTATAATATCAACTCAATAAAATGATATAGTAAATAATTACAAATTTACACAATACCTTTTAATATCTAAATTTCAAGTTGCTAAATGGACCCTCCCATGGTCTCAAAGGTTAGTCAATGACGCCATTGGTTCTTTAATGAATATATTGAAAGTTGCTTCATTCTTAATTATAATTTAATATTTAATATTGATATGTTATATGAATTATACGAATGAAATATATATATTATAGGTAAAAAAGTTAGAATTCAACTTATCAAAAAAAAAGTTAGAATTCAATATAACATATAATTGGTAACAATAAAATTACTAGTTTATTAAAATTTTAAAATATATTAAGAATTTTAAATTTTTTTATTAGTCAGGGGTGAATATAACGTAATATATGTTCATGGACTCCCAATCATTTGACATTAAATACTCATATCCTAATATATGTGGTGTACGAACCTAGAACTTCAAAGAATAACAATAATTCTTTAAACGCTGAAGTCGCTTAGATTGTGCTTTAAAATAGATATCAAATATATCTATGAATTTTATAAAAAAAATAAACATGAATATTACATTTCAAGAACATCTTGTTCCCCTATTTACACTATATTTAAATTTTAAATTCAACTTAAAATTCAAAATTAAAAAAAATTAATCTAAAAATTCTTTTTTATTTTTCTTGTTGAACGTTTTCATTTTTTAGTTTGTGTTTATCTCTTCATTTTTATTATTATCTTATAATAATTGATGATGGACCACCGATCACCTAATACTTCTTAATTGTTTAGGGAAACAATACAACTATAAGACGACATACTTTTAGTACATATATCTCACAATACAAAATATGACACGGCAACAAAAATAATATGAAAACAATACAACTATAAGACCTCATATTTTTTTTTCTATTTGTATGATATTTTTTCTTCTTCTTATCTTTAGACATATTTTCGATTTTTAACCGTTATTGTCGTTTGTTCTTTTTTTAAAGCTTAATTTGATATCATTATAATTGATTAAGTTTGTGTTTATTTGTTATTATGTTAATTTTCTACTTTGGACCATTGGATTGAATTTGGATGTGCGATTTGTTTTCGTAGATAGTTTTTTTCATATCGTTCAACTCTGATTTGCAATTTATCAGTAGTATTTCAATATCTTGTTTCTCCTTTTGTGGTTCATTTATCGATGTGATCAGATCTATTTGTGTATACCTTTTGTTTGAATTTATTTGGTTAAGTTTTTTAATCTTTTCCTTGTATGACCATTGTGTGATCTTAAGTGATTAATTTTTGTGTTATTGATTATAGAAAAATGTCCTTATTATGTATTCAATTTACAGTTATGGTTGTACTCCTTCACCATAATTTAAATATTTTATATTTTAATAAAACTAGTTGCTTCTATAAAAGAACATGCAGACAGAGGGGATTAAATTTAATTATATGGTCAAATAGTACTTAAAGTACCTCTAATTAATTTATTAGCATATAGTTTAGGGCAAAGTACATAAATGGTCCTCCGATTATATGACATTACTTTGTTGAGTCTCCTAACTATTAAAAGTTATAAAATGGTCCCCAAGACACTGCTATGTATGATCACCCAACTATTAAAAGTTACAAAATCATCACTCAGCTATTCATATATTCCAAAATCATCCATTTTCCGTAAAAAAAAATGGTGATCGACTAAGCTAGATGTTAACCTATTGATTGGGATATAATAAATTCTGATCCCAGGATCATTTGAGATATATTTTGTGGATCGATTATTCGTTTACATTATGCGGTCGAGCCAGTGTTTGAAAGCAACAACGATGACAATAGATATACGTAAAATATAATTTATCATATCTCATTCAATATGTTATTGTCTAACTTAGACAACCACTAACTTTTTTAACGGAAAATGATGAGTTTGGAACATATAAAAAATTAGGTGACCATTTTTGTAATTTTTAATAGTTGAGGGACTCAACAACGTATCACCCTATAGTCGATAGACCATTTTGTAACTTTTAATAGTTAAAATACTCAACAAAGAAACACCTTATAATCAGATAATCGTTTGTGTAAGACCATATGAGCATCATCGAGTACTCGACTAATGAATGAATCTCAAAATTTTTACCTTTATTCCAACTATTTATATTTCTATTCTTGATTTCATTTAAGAAGAAAAATGTTGGGTCCTTTCTATAAATACATAAAGATGATAATGAGTGAGATTAGGGACGATAAAGAGTTGGGTTGAATTAAATCGGGTTAAAATAAAAAATGTTTTGAAATATATAAAATAATTTATTTTTATTAAATTTTATAAAAATATAAAATATTCTTATGATGATGATAAAATAAATAAATACGATGCGAATACAAGAGTATAAAACATATAATATAAAGTTCAAGTTCAACAGTGAATGATTAATCTGTACATTGAAAACAAAAAAGAAAGATTATTCTCTACATTTTAAAATTGTGCAATAATAATTTGAAAGCCAAGTTGACACATAAGTTATCATCAAAGACAAATGATTCAGATTCTCAGAGAAGACTAAACAGACACATACATATATAAGAGGCCATGATTTGTTTTCATTTTGTGCCATTTATTTAATATTTATATAAATTAAAGAAAATGTTAAACAAACTTACCACTTTAAGTATCTTTCACTAATTTTTATGTCTTATTTGAATGCCCTGTTTACTTTTTCTTTTAATTAAAATGAGATCAACTTTGGTCATTGTTTTTAAAATATCACATTAAAATATTTTGTTCAGAAAAAAAAATCAATTTTTTCAAATTCCAATTTTATAAATATATTTTTTATATTATTTTACATAATATGAAATAAGAAAAATATCACCTCACTAAAAAAATGTCGTGAATTTTAAGATACGGGTTTGAATTCCTTAAATAATCCCCTAATCTATGATTTTTATCCATTAAATCCCTTAATCTACACTATCTAGTTGACATTTTCCATGCTTATGAGGGTGATTTGAAGGCAACTTGATGTGGTAAGATGAGTTAAATTAAATTTTATTTTTAATAGATTTACACACGTCACAATTTCATTGGTTACAAAGATGTAATCCAAATCCTTAATTAAGAACTCAAATATATTTGATTAAAACTATTTTAATCTACTCTATTCTTTTTTTAAATCATCATAGATCATTATGTGTTTGGATTAAAAATGACAATTACAAGTTTAGATTTGAATTTTACATTAGTGTTGAGCTAAGAATAAAAATATTAGATTGAAATACATACACATAATTAATAATGGTATATATATTAAATAATAAATTGTGTTTATGTTGCATAATTATTAAAAGGGTAAACTACGTATTTAGTCACTCAACTATCACTTTGATTCCGTTTTGGTCACCTAATTATTTTCTTTTTCAAAATCATCATAACATTACTTTTTAGTTTCATTTTGATCACTCGTCGTTAAAAAGATATTAAACTGCTTAAGTGACATTTTTTAAATTTTCAATGATGATGTGGCATTGTCTTATGGTGACATGTCAATATCATCATTAATTTTTTAATGACAAGTGGCCAAAATAAAATCAAAATGTAAAGCTAGTGATGATTTTGAAAAAAAATTAACTAACCGAAACAGAACCAAAATGATAGTTGAGTAACTAAATGTCTAGTTTATCCTAATTAAAATTATACTTATAGTAATTAAAGCTATATTTAGAATAAAAATAAAGTAACAATAATAAAAGAAACGGAAGGAATAAAGGGGAAATTACCCCTCCACTAAGAATCCAATGCGCTTCCATTTCATTGTGGGGTGCTGGCAAATCCTCTAACATAAGCATACAAAGTGCCAATTAGATTAAGTAGGGGCTTTAATGGGTAAAAATCATAGATTAGGGGCTTTTTTACTACAAAAAAATATGAGGGCTTATTTAAACATGGTGTTGTAGTTTGAGACTATTTCAGTATATTAGCCTTTCTAATATTTTAATCCACAAAATGGTCCAGAGAAAACAAGAGAGCCGAGAAGGAAAAAAAAAGAGAGACAATGTCTGCTTGCCTTATCCAATGAATGCCCTTTCGAAGCCTCCAAAAGGCCGCGGTTCACCTCTATTTCCCCACTGGAGAATCCCTCGCATTATGCAATTGTTTTGACTTTTTCTCATGTTCCTTCATAACCACCAGAATTAATTAAGCACATATTAGGGGAAACGACGGCGGCGGCGGAATTGAGAGAACTAAGAGATGGCCAATCACTATTATCATCAAAGCAATGTCATTGCGGTATCAACACCGTCAACATCTTTGAACTCACTCTCTCCATTGTTGCTCAGAGGAAATCATAGTTTCTTCAGAAACAAGAAGATTGCTCTGGAGAGATCTCTTGTGTTTGAAAGAAAATCGACAGGAAGCTTGAGAAAAAACAGAGGAGGAGAATACGCGGTGGTTGTTGCTTCAAGCGGCAACGTCGCGGCTTCTGATCTCTGGGATTCATGGAAACCTCAGAAAAATTCTTCGGCTCCTTCACTCAGCGACATCCTTTGGCCTTCTGCAGGTTAGTTCACTGCTGAAAAATTAAGATTCTCAAGAACAATGCAAATTGAGGGAGTGATTAAGGAGTTAGACCTTAGACGTTGTTGATTAATCAAGTTGTGAAGACCAATGTATGATAATTTTAATGCACAGGAGCGTTCGCTGCAATGGCGATATTGGGAAAGATGGATCAAATTTTAGCACCAAAAGGGATTTCAATGACGATTGCTCCTTTAGGGGCGGTTTGTGCGGTACTGTTTGCTTCACCCTCCTCTCCTGCTGCTCGGGTATGTCGCTGTTGTTATCTTTAATTACCAAGATAAGATAGGAATACTGCTTTATTTATTTTTTAGATTAATATCACAATGCCCGTGAAAATTAAATCAAGAAAATAATTCGAACTCAAACCATCATACATTATCTTTATTTTTTATTATTATTATTTTAAAAAAATATGTGTTATTCTGATGACAGTTCTTGAGTTTTTATTTTTGTTGGGAATGTATGTGCTATTTATCTTTATTCTTTTCAGTTTAGTGAATTTCTTTCTTTTGTTCTTTGAAAATTTAAAAATTAGGGATTTTATTTTAATTTATTATTGTATTTTATAAAAATTAGAAAAACTAATTTAATTAAATAACAATTTTTTTTAATAGTATGAAGTGATTACAATGTGATATCTGTTCAATTTTTTTCATAACCATTCATAACTTATACACACACTATAAACGTAATCACTTGAACTCGGAACATTTAGAGAAAACTACACTCTCAATTACTAATGAGATCATTAAATGAATTTAATTAAATAATAATATTAAATATTATGTTAAATTATTAACTTTGAAAATTAATAATTCAACAATTTATATGAAAAAAAAATTAACTAAAAGTACCAGAAAAAACAGTTCAATTTCATGTGTTTACCAATAAGTATATTAACTTTAGTTTTTATAAAGATTTTTTTATAAAATAAATAGTTAAAGTATACTATTTTTATTTTAAGTGTTTAATTTTTTTCAGTAAAAATAAATGTTTAAGTTTTCATTTCATAATCATTTTCATTTGGTCATTAAACAAACATGTTCTCTTTCATTAATGAGATTTTTAAAATTTTGATTTTTTTACTTGATTCGCCGTTACAAGTAAAATTGAAGTATTTTGAGACTATTTTATTAAGATTTCAAGTTTTGATTTTAATTTCACATAAATAAATTTTTATAATCAAAATATTTGGAGAATTTTTTGAGATTTTTCAAAACGGATTAGTTTTTGAATTTTTCTCTTTACATTTATGTTTGTTTCCTTAGAAAACATAAGTGTAAAAAGGAGAAAGATGACCGAAAGCCACGTGTCATATCTTTATTAAACAACAAAAATTTCTCTAACAAACGGTCTAAAAATAATTACAAATAAAAAATGTAATATTCATTTAAAAAAAATATAGTTATTTAAACTAAGAAGATATAATTTAAACATCTTTCTTTCTCACAGATGATAGAATTCAGAATTAGACCTTATTCATTAGTTTTCCAAAGCACTCATTATAGTTTGTAAATATAAAACTTGCCTAATAAAAGTTCAAGTTCTATTTCCAAGTAGTTTAGGACTTGCTCTACTGACCTACATAACTTCCAACCCCGACACTCACCAATGTCGAGGTTAGCTTTATTATTGTAAACAAACTATTATGGGAAATACTTCTTCGGTTGTCCTTTGATTATAAATTGTTACTTTGTTGAGTCTTTAACTATTAAAAGATGCAAAATAGTTTTTTTGACTATAAGACATTGATTTGTTGAGTCTTTGACTGTTAAAAGTTACAATCTGTCACTCAACTACTCATATGTTCTAAACTTGTCATTTTCTATTAAAAATTGATGATAGTCTAAGCTGTACGTTAACTTACTGATTGAGATATGCTAAATCTAATTTTAGAATCTCAAATCACTATGATATCTCAGTCAATATGTTAACATCTAACTCAAACGGACGTCGATTTTTTATCGAAAAAGGATGAGTTGGAACAGATGAATAATTGGGTGACCATTTTGGAACTTTAAACAGTCGATGAACTCTACAAAGCAACGCCATATAGTCAGAGGACCATTTTATAAATTTGTAATAGTCGAGGACTAAACAAAATAATGTCTTATAGTCGGGACTATTTGTATACTTTATCCTAAACCCTAATGGTATTTGTTAATGATAATTAGAAAATAAAATTACAAACGTTATATAATGAAATAAGAATACACAAGTCATGTGAGTGCGTAAAACTAATTTAATAACTTTTTTTCGACTCGATTCAATGCTTATTCTTACATACGACATAGAACTAAAATTACTTTGATGAAAGGGTTTCGAGGCCAATGTATTAAATGATAATTTTAAAAAATAAAAAATAAAATTATATAATGAAAAAGGAATACATAAATTATATAAATGTGCAAAAGTAATTTGTTCTGCATTACATTAGTAGCATGAAACCTCAACTGTGTTGCAGAAGTACAATATGTTCATGGCTCAAATAGGTTGTGCAGCGATTGGTGTTGCTGCGTTCACTCTATTTGGGCCTGGCTGGGTTGCTAGAAGTGCTGCCCTTGCTGCCTCCATAGCTTTCATGATCTACACACGTTCAACCCATCCACCAGGTTCTCCTCCATCTTCAACTTCAAAAACTATATCTGATCGTCCCAATGCTAATTTTGTGTTGCCAAATTAGCTGCAAGTTTGCCGATTCTATTCATCGATGGAGTTAATTTACACCAGTTGAGTTTCTGGTACGCTCTTTTCCCCGGTGCAGCTGGATGTATCATTCTTGCTTTGATCGTAAGCTCCTTACAACTTCATTTTAACACGAATATAGGCCCTTTGTTTAGATTCTCCTGGAGTGACGTGTTTTTTTTGTTTGATGTGGTGCAGCAAGAAGTGGTTTGTTACTTGAAAGACAACCTCAAGTTTTGATCTCTATAAACTTGGATGGTCGCAATTCCACTAGACATATTGGAACAAGGGGTTTTCACTCTGCTTCTGCTCACTGGCTTACTCCAGTATTGGGTGAAATATTGATTGAGAATGCCCAGATCTGTAAAATAACAAATCAATCATTGTATTCAGATTGCCATTTAAATCCCATTAAATATCTAAATAAATAAATAGTTTGCTTTGAATGGGATTTGCCTACTGTATATCTTTTGCTGATAAAATATTAGGTGAATGACTTGGTTGACATTTACCAACCCATAGAAAGCAACAAGGCTATATTCTAGGACGTAAAATAACCGAATATTTAACTAATCGTTGGGTAAAAAATTCGTATATTTATTGAACGAACGGGTATGGATAAGATTTTATGTTCGTTTAATAAAATAAATAAACAAATGATCTATTTGTTCATTTGTATTCGTGAACGTTTGATAATATGTTCATTTAAATTTATTCACATATATATTTCTCATCGAGCAGCTCACTATCCCTTTCATTTCACGATAGATTAAAAGAACTCTAAATCGTATAAATTTATATTTATTTATCATTTTAATAAACAAACACAAACAAATTACATTCTTTAATCAATGAACATGAAAAAAAAATCTGCTCATTTAATTATTTGTGTTTGTTTATTTATTTAATTAAAATTAAATGAATAAATAAAAAACTTTTTTATTTATATTCCATTATTCTTCTGTCTATTTATCGTTCAGCTTAAAATTACTTTAATAGAAATAAAACTCTAATAATTGGAAGAAATTAGGAGTAGTAACGATATTTTAAAACTTGAAGAGAAAAACTAAGCTTTTGTAATAACATGCAATGAAATATGTGAACATTAATCCGCTTCTTGTAGACCACCCAATAAAACCGACCCCACAAACAAGCCAGCAGCACCAACAACAAGTGCCCCAGCCAACACCGCTTGCACCGCCACTAGCCCTACCGAGTCATCCGGTATAATTACTACAGCCGCCAGCGCCGCCACTAAAACTGGCAGTGCCGCCGAAGCCAGCGTTGAAGGGGATACACTGGCCGCCTTCTCCAACAGGCTGAGCAGCCCTAGCTCCTCGGCTTTGGAAAAAACGCCAAGTTTCTCTATGGACGAAAGGGTGAGTCCAAGCTCCTCCGCCTTGGATAACAGCCCTGCCTTCTCAACGTTGCTCAGAACCTTCCTCTTCTCAAGCTTCTTAAACACGTCCACCTCCACTTCTTCGCTTCCTTCGTAGAAGATCCCTGCTCCAAACCATTGCTTTTCCCAACCGGAATCGTACTTGTTTACCTGAAAGCAAACAAACAAACAAACCCCATCAATCTTTTAATGGAATTTCCTTTTTCAATCACGGGCTTGAGTTTGATGATGATACCTTCTTTTTGGGAGCCATGTTTACGATTGTTAGTGGCTTTTTAGCGGGGAAAAAGGGGTTGAATTTGGGGTTTTTTGAGGAAAACTTGGAATGTTCGATTCTGGCAAGGTAAGCAACTGGGGATGACGCAGAGACAGCCATTGATGAATCAAAGGGGTGTGGAAGAACTAGTTTTGTTTTACTTCTAGGGGTAGGGGGATGCCAATTGCCACGTAGGATGATATATGTGATCTTGAGTTATGTAAATGACCGATTCTCCGCCAATCACAATAATCGTACCTTTATCTCGGGAAATAATGTTTTTTTAAATAAATTATTCATTGAAAATTAAGCAGGTATTATTACACTAACCATACACGTATATTTTCTGTTTCAACAAAAATATCATGGTTGATATTTTTTATCAAAATTTTCAAACAGAGACTGGAAAAAGAACACGATTTTATTTATTTGCAATCTATTGACTAAAACTAATAAGAAAAATATATACACTCCATTTATACCATCATTATTTATAGAATAAACTACACATTTAATACCTAAATGATCATTATTATTATGTTTTTGTACTTCAATTTTATTTATTTTATTTCCAAAATCATTACTAATATTTCCAAAAATTAATGACATGATGGCATGGAAAATTGAAAAATAATTTCACATCATCACTGTCGGTAAATTTTTAACGACATATATAAATTAAAACCAAAACTAAACGTTAGATATGATTTTTAAGAAAAAAGGTAAAGTGTAAGTGGTAAAATAGAATAAACGTGATAGTTTAGGTATTAGATGTTTAGTTTACTCTTAATAAAAATGAAAAATAAAATGTAAAAAATATCAAACCGAGTCTTAAGTGCCATGAATCAAAGTCAAGGGGCGTGAAAGGCACACCACAAATCCTTGGGCATACTCAGAAACAAACAAGAGCAATCAAAGACCGGCTATGGAAATCACACGTGTCAGTATTGGATTCACAGAACCAGATTTCGTTGGATGAGATTCTATCAACTGTCCATCGCCTATAACTCAAACACCTTCATCTTCAATCTCCTAGCACCCGTCTTCTTCTCTGTCTCCACCGGAGAAAGCTAACATGGCAACAGAATGGCCCTCGTCAAGCGTATCTCCAAATTCAGTTCAACCACTCCAATCTTCCGCAACTCACGATATGTGAAGTTCACCACCGTCAGGATGTCATCCACTTCGCAGCCAACAACAAAGACCGCCGTCAAGGGCGGCAAGAAAGCTGCCAAAACTGCAATCAAAGAGACCCTTTTGACGCCTAGGTTCTACACAACCGACTTCGACGAGATGGAGACCCTTTTCAATACTGAAATCAACAAGAACCTCAACCAGTCCGAGTTCGAGGCACTGCTGCAAGAGTTCAAGACGGATTACAACCAGACTCACTTCGTGAGGAACAAGGAGTTCAAGGAGGCTGCTGATAAGATCGATGGTCCTTTGAGACAGATCTTCGTTGAGTTCTTGGAGAGGTCTTGTACTGCTGAGTTCTCTGGTTTTCTCCTCTACAAAGAACTCGGAAGGAGACTCGAGGTAATATAATATTATCCATTTACCAATACCATCTTTTCTCACCATAGCTATATTCATTTGTTTAGCCAAATTCTGCAGAAAACAAATCCAGTTGTGGCTGAGATTTTCTCTCTTATGTCAAGGGATGAAGCCAGGCATGCCGGGTATGCACATTGGTAGTTTTCTCTCTGTTTATGGCCATTATGAACATATTATTAACTTATCATTTTATTGATTTACAGGTTTCTGAACAAGGGTTTGTCTGATTTCAATTTGGCATTGGACCTTGGGTTCTTGACAAAGGCTAGGAAGTACACGTTTTTCAAGCCAAAGTTCATTTTCTATGCTACTTATTTATCTGAGAAAATTGGGTATTGGAGATATTACTATCTACAGACATCTCAAAGAAAATCCTGAGTACCAATGTTACCTATTTTCAAGTATTTTGAGAACTGGTGTCAGGATGAAAACCGACACGGCGATTTCTTCTCGGCGTTGCTCAAGGCGCAGCCACAATTCCTTAATGATTGGAAGGCAAAGCTCTGGTCCAGATTCTTCTGTCTCTCGGTGATCGATTTGTTTCTTTCATGATATCCTCTCGTTTATGTCGTACTACATTCATTGTGTTAACAGTTTTGTTCTGCAGGTGTATGTTACCATGTACCTCAACGACTGTCAACGTACTGCTTTCTATGAGGGCATTGGACTCGACACGAAAGAATTCGACATGCATGTCATCATTGAGGTTAGATTCTTTTCTTATAATCTTATTGAGCCATGATACTGGGGGATTCTGCATCTTCCCAAGCTTATTAGAAGCTGCTACATGGTTGTAAAAGGCCTTGGCATTTGAAATATGATGAAATCTTGGAGCTTTGGCCGTTATCTACTTGTTAATGTTGGAATTTCTTGCGTACAGACGAACCGCACGACAGCCAGGATTTTCCCTGCTGTGCTGGATGTTGAGAATCCAGAGTTCAAGAGGAGGTTGGACAGGATGGTTGAGATCAACGAACAACTGATTGCTGCTGGGGAGAGCGATGATATCCCCTTGGTGAAGAACCTGAAGAGGATTCCACTAATTGCGGCATTGGCCTCGGAGCTCTTGGCTACATATCTGATGCCGCCTATCGAGTCGGGATCTGTTGATTTTGCTGAATTTGAACCACAGCTTGTGTACTAAATTTTTATTTTTGTAAGAGTTGCATTTTTCTGGTACAATTTCTACATTAGCCAGGCTGCAAGATTTAGCAAATGAAGCTGTTTAATGCCCTTTTATTTATTTTGTAAATGTGAAAGTTGATGCCGTTTTGCACTACTTTTATCCTTCTCTCTTTAGCATACAACCACCGAGATGAAATCGATCACTCATCAAGCATCGACCTTCACCCATATTTCAGTTCAGGAAGACACTGCTCTCAAGATAACAAAAGAGAACAAATCCAATGTCGTATCCAATGCATCATCAGATAAACATCCCCAACAAAATCTCAAATCCTATGCGAATAAAATGAGATTTTGTTAATGAAAGTTAATGTTCTTATTATAATTTAAGTAATGTATGATATACTTTGAGATTTTATTCTTATTGGAATAAAATGAGATTTTTCTGAATTAGCTATTGGTATCCAATCTATGGATTAACCCGGTATGAATTTTACAGAGGTCTATTTTGGGATAACCTTCTTAACTCAATTTATTTAATTCGTAATTATCAAGATTCGTCATTAGTGTGTGCTTTGATGTTGCACTTAGGTGCTCTCGAATTGCATTTTGATGTCACTGTTACTTGCATACCTTTCTTGAGAGTCCACTAAGTTTATAGAGGCCCTAAAAGAGATAAATCACAAGATTTGTTTTGCAATGTCAAGCGAACATGCTTTTACATGATATGATAACAAATATAAATGACATGATGAATTATGGATAAGTTAATATTTTGATAAACATGATTATGTAACTGAGATATGAAAAGATGTTAGATCATGTATTGTTTACACTATGCACTATTGAATTTGTTACTCAACGTGTGATTTATTTTTTCAAACGTAGGTATTTTATAAAAAGTTCAAGAAGTTACGTCAAACGAAGAATATATTCTTTGACCCCCAATCATACGGTGTCTATGTGACACCTACAAGAATATTGATACTCGTGTTATTTCATGTAATTGATTATTATTATCATGTTCATGATTATATTAAATAAGATAACGAATGTTTAAAAAAAATCAATTGGTCTTCTTTCTGTTCTGATTTTTGAATGTGACATCTTCTGCCCCGAATTTTGAATGTGACACCTCCTGCATGAATTTTGTATTTGAAATCTTCTGTTCCGTGTATAATTACCGAACCGGCTAGGAGATGTTATACACATTTTAACGAGTCGAGCTTGAACATACAAGTTTGAAATACAAACCGAACACAAACTCAAAAACAAATGAACAAATACAAACGGTTCATCTTTACAGCCTAAGGGGTTGGTCATTTAATCATCAAGCTATATCAAATTTAGTTCTATCTTGGTTCTTGGGAATGGAAGCGGAATTATTGTCGAAACCATCAAAGTCGACCTTGTGCAAAAGCTTGGGGACGTCGGGATTGCGTTTGGAACCATTGACGCTGTCCTCAATGGCTGAAAGACCGTTGTCGTCTTCCGATGTCCATGCCCGGAAATTGTTCAACGAAGGCGGGATCCTTGAAATCAGCACTTGCCTGAAGTTTCTCAATATGCCTTTGTTGAAAGGATTCGCCTTCCGATCGTACCGGTACCGGAAGCTCTCGTAGGTGGTCTGAAATTCAAAAACGCAAAACATATTGGAAGGGCCAAGAATGAAAGAAAAAGGTGAGTGGAAATGAAAAGGATCACCTGGTTAGTGGAAATGAGGTAGAAATGGAAAACGGTGAGGCCACCGACGAACCAGACGACGATGAAGCAATACAGAATGAGAATAACGGATGTAACATCCCGAGATACGGCTGTCCAGAAGCCGCAATCTTGTTTAAGAATGTTCACCCAAGAGCACGTGAATACATATATGCATAGCGTCGTTGATGATGATATAAAACATATGAAGAATGTGTAGTTGCGCTGCAACCAACGTGTTAATAAATGAGCCCCATCATTTAAGTAATTAAGAAGCTTAAAGAAACTTACTTCTCCGATGCATTGACCCACCCATGGACAATGATGGTCAAACCTCTGGACGCAGTTGTTACAAATGGAGCAATGAGATGCGCGGGGAGTTCGATACAACAAACAGGTTTCACAAAACTTGACTTGAACCGTTTCACCCGTCGCCAATTTAACTTCCTTAATCCTGGGCAATCTCAGGCTGTTGACCTTACCATTCACCCAATCGAACGACGCGCTCTTGCACACATCATCATCGTCCGCACATTCCGGCGGTTTTGCGTTTCTGGGTATTATTCCAGGATCTCCAAAGCTTGTCAGAAACAGAAACCCTAAATCCTGAAAACATTGTTCTTTTTAATTTGCCTGGACCAAGGTTATGGATGAGGGACAATCATTTCCCAAATAAAATTGATGAGAGCTGAAACAATATTATTATTTTACCAACCAAAACAGTGAGTATGAGTCCCCCAAGCAATATTTTATGTTTAAATATTGTATCTTGGGGCTTCATATGCATCGCCATCTTTATGCAGAAGGCAATCGCGGGGCATCCAATCAAAAACGACGTTAAGAAAAGTGATGAAGCATCGGGACCAAGTATCACCCTCCCACCACAGCAAAAATTCTGGGAAATTCAAAAACCATTTCATTAGGGATTGAATCTGTTATGTGGGATAAACGTAATAATATCAAAAGAAAGTACATTATTTCCTTTCCAAACTTGATAAACCCGCTTGGGACGCGGTGGTTGGGTGTCAATGGAGGAAGAATCGTGTATCTGGCTTTTGCTGTTTCTCATGCTTCTGGTGGATTCGATTGAATGCATGACCCAAGGTACCTAAAATGGGGACACAAAACACCCACACCAAGACAAACCTTAATTAAAGAAACCAAACAAAATGAAAAATGGCTTTCATTGTTTTTGTTTAACTTAAGAAAGCCAAGGACATTGCCAAACGCCTTGCATAGCGTTTGCCTTTCTTCTCTGTTTCCAACTTCCCCTTATCAACAATGGTTGGTTTACGACATGGAACATGACAACCTTTTTTCCTAACAAACTTTTTTGATGGGTCCTAATGATTTCTAATTTCAACCAAAACTAATTGCTTTTTATTTTTTAATTCCATCATTTTTTAGTATCATTTCATTTACACAACCTATTTTATTGCTCTCCACCTTCCAACCTAAGGTATATGTCCCAAACCAACAATTGCGGGGGTTAAGTATCATCATCACTTTAAAACAAGACTTAAATATACAAAAGGTACCCAACGTAGTTCGTTTTTCTATTTCAGTGCCTAACATTTTTTTTTGTTCCAGTTTGGTGCATAACGTTTCATTCCATAACTCAAAATGGGTCACGACGTGACAGACCGTTAAGTTTGACCCTTAACCCATTAAAAATGCCACGTGACATTTTTTAATATTAAAAAATAAATTTTGCAAAAAAAATGTTTTAATGCCTTTTATCGTTGTAAAAAATGATCGTTAACAGTCTTTCCCTCTCTTCTCCTTCTCCACCCTTTTTCTGAAATTAAATTCAAGAACCCTAAATCAGTTATTGGAATCTCTAAGCAGGGAGTGAAGGATGTCAAGTGGAAGTTCAAGGCCTCGTTATGGTTCTAGGGTCGTGGTATGTTATTATGGAATGAAAGCTCCCATTTGCATTTCTAATAAACCATGGAGTAAAGGAAATTTTTTTTGGGTGTTATCAAGTGAAAGAGGTAAGTTCTTATTTTATAAGAAATTTTGAGAGTTTGCTAACTTATTAGCCTAATTATTTTTTGTATACAGCAGAATCGGTGTAATATTTTTCAGTGGGTAGACAAGGAAGAAGACAATGGATGTATTGGTGAAGATTTGAAATTTCAATTGGAAATGTTGATGATCGAAAATAGGAATTTGAAAAAAATGAAAACCATCAATTGAAGGAAATTGTAAAATCATATAAAGCAAAATGTGGAAAGGGGATGACAAATGCTTTGTTTTATAAGATAGCATTCTTTATTTCTTGGATAGTGTACTTCATGGTGAAATTTGGTCTTTAGATGAAGGATGGTATGACAATTGTTATGTGAAAAGAGGAGTAAAGTTGTTATGTTTGTGAGTTTCTTGTAATGTTGGTATAGTTGAAGAAAATTGTAGTTGTTGTAATGTTGGTATGACAATTGCTATATTAGAAGATAATATTTAAAATGTTGTTATGAAAAATCTTTTGTTTTGTGTATGGAAATTAAATGTTAGCATATGTTTATATTGCATTGATACATAATTGTTGATTGAACATGAGTATATAAATAGTTGGAAAGTAATAGGAGTAAAATAAAATGTTTCATATATTGAAGTGAAGTGAACATCCCCAAATAGTGCCTAATAGCATTCATCAATGTAAAATGCCCAAAAGGTTACATATCTAAATAAAATAAATTGTCAACTGCCCAAATAATTCATATGACTAAACAAAGTCAAATAAGTAATTTCATGTGACTAAAGACAATACAAAATAAAACACTAAAAAAGTAGGAACTTCATTCTAAGGCCTCTAAATGGTCGGTTTAAGGAGATACTTTTTGATGGGAAGCTTTGACAATCTTGCTTGTGGATTAATGTTGGAAGTTTCCATTAAAGGTGACTGAGAAAATACTTAAGGTGGCGGTGATATTGTACCACTTGAACTTTGCATCCTTTTGCAACATATGACTTTGTGTTGGGTCGAGAAATGAGAACTTGACTTGGTATTTCTGGCTATTAAAATGAAAACAAATATCAGAAAATTAAAATTTTTATAAATATTTTAATTAAAGTTGTTTAGATTACTTACATTTAAAATTTGTAGTATTGTTGCTTCATTTTTGTAAATTCCAATCTCTTGCATGATTGTTCTGCCCCTTTGCCTATGTGTTGTAACATGATCTCTATGGGTAAGGGGTATTCTGTTTGTTGTCATCTTCCTCTTTCTAGGTGTAGAGGTTGCAGGTAGTTGAACAGTTGGAGTGGGCATGAACCTCATTTGTGGAGCAATTGTTGTTGATAGTGGTGGAGCTTGTGGTGTTGAAGCAGGGGTTGTAGTGGTTGCTGGTGCAGAAAGAGGAGGTGTAGAGGCCGTTGGTGTACAAAAAGGTGGTGTTGATGTAGTCCTTGTTAAAATTGTTGTTGGTGGAACTTGATTTTCCTAAAAATAATAATAATTAGATTACAATCATCTAACTGTTGCATTAAAGCAAAAGAATGAAAAACCAAATTAAACTTACATTGTATTGGGTTTTTTATGGACAAATTCTTAAATTGTGTCCAATCTGCCCACAAACTCTACAATTCATTTTCAATCATGTCCTTGTCATCTTATTTTGCTGCTGGTAGTGGTGTTTTTGCTTTTCAATTCACCTTCTTATCTTCTCCTTTTATGCTTTGGTCTTCTAGGAATTTTTCTTTTAAGGGTAAACTACTCCAATGGCCACTAATGTTTGGGTAAGTTTTCGTTTTCACCACTGATGTTTCAAAAGTTATAAATCGATCACTAACGTTATCGTTTGTTAAAAATTGGTCACTCGCCGTTAACATGCGTGACAGAAAACACACGTGGCCTGTTAACAACAGTTAACAGGCTTACCTAGATGGTATAGTTACACAAATAGTCCATGTTATTTATATATTATTTCAATTTGATCCTAGTTTTAATAAATTAAAATATATTTATTTTTAATTCTTATAAATAATGATATATTTTTATACAAAATATTTAAATGTTTTGTTAGTTATAAAACAAAAAAATTAACGTGATGATATTATTATTATTATTGATATGATGAAAAATTAATAAGCACATAGGTCGTGAAATTGTTTAGGAAATGAACCGAACTGCATCCGAAGTGACTCGTGATGATATCATCGGCACCAAGTAAATTTTTGAAGCCCCTCCCTCTTCCATGATCAAGAAAAAAACTTAATTTCCAAGAAAATATTTGTCCAAAATTTTAATTTAATATTACTTGAAGTGATCTAAAAATATAAAATTCCAATATTCAAGCTAATAATAATATACCAGACAAAAGTTCCATAACATGAAATGATAAATTTGTGAATGCAAATTTATGTAATTCCCAAAATGATGTTATACCGAAACACGAGGAAATACAGGAATACCAATAATGTTAATGGGCTCTCAATAAGACGACATAAATCTATTTATAAAATATTTACAAGCATTAGAAATCGAAATCCCTATGGCTTGTTTGCAGATAGAGGCAATCGGAGCTCCAAAATGAATTAGCTATAGGCACCAATTTACACCACCTAATGAATTCATCTTGATTAAGCCAAATACGGTCGTATCATCGGATGTAACACGAACTGAAAATTTCCTTTCCTCACGCAGAAGCCAGACGTTCAGCCGATTTATTTTTATTATCTCGAATCTATCATTTGGATGGATTCAATTTGTTTCCTCGGAATATTCACCGATGATATCATCACGAGTCACTTTGGATGCAGTTAAATCCATTCCCTAAACAATTTCACGACCTATGTGCTTATTAATTTTTCATCATATCAATAATAATAATTAAATTTACAATTTGTGTTGTGATAAAATTTAATTTAAAAGATTTAATGACAAATTAAATTATAAGACTATTCAAAAAATAAAAGACTTAATAAAATTAATTTTAAAAAAATTTATGCACCGAGTGAAAAAATTTTCTTCACAAACGAGATTTTAATATTAGTATTTATTAAAAAAAAGTTTGGGGAAGAATTTTTTTTTTGTTTTTATTAGTTTACCCTAACATTAAAAACGTTATTTTTTTTCTTTTATAACTAATTTTTAATTTTTAATTTCCTTTTTTTAAAAATATATCATTATTTATAAGAATTAAAAATAAATATATTTTAATTTATTAAAACTAGGATCAAATTGAAAGAATATATAAATAACATTAACTATTTGTGTAATTATACCATATAAGTAAGCATGTTAATTGCTGTTAACAGGCCGCGTGTGTTTTTCGTCACTCATGTTAACGACGAGTGACCAATTTGTAACAAACGATGACGTTAGTGACCGGTTTGTAATTTTTGAAACATCAGTGGTGAAAACGAAAACTTACCCAAACATTAGTGACCATTGGAGTAGTTTACCCTTCTTTTAAAAGGTAGATCAATCTTGGGCATCTCTGTGTGTTCCCAATACTTTCACTTGGAATAGTAGGAAGACAACACTATACAATGCTTAATAAATCTGAGTTTTATACAGGCTAACTACATATGATTCCAACTATTCTTCTCTATACCATATTAGACACACAATATGAGGGCATGATATTCATGTAAAATCCCACACTCTACAAGTGCATTTCCAGTACCTAACATCAACTACAAATGTGTCCTTATTTTTGTAAAACTTCATACCCTTCAGCCCCATTCCAGATGACATGGCAGACAAAACTCAATTTCTTATGTTCTTCCAATTTTTTACAATCCTAGGACATAGGTTACTATTCCACTCAAGTGACTTCTTCTTGTGATCAACAAGTCTGTGCATCACATAGTGCCAAATATCCTCTAACATAGAAATTATTGACTTAAATCTAGAACCTAATATGGCAGAATTGAAAGCCTCTGAAAAATTATTGTCTACTGCATCACACGTTGATCTAGTACTAAAAAATGCTTTAGACCAATACTTAGGATGCCTAACCATCAGATCATCATATGTAACTTTTTTTTTCAGCTTACCAATTCTGTTGACATTGTGTTCAAAAACAATTTCAGTTGTAGCCTTGCAACAAGCCCAAAACAATAATTGAAGATCACCTCCTTTGTGATTTTTTTCCAGTTAGCATAAATGTGCCTAGCACAGAATCTGTGCTCCACATTTGGTAAAC